TATAGACGTATTCCTACATTTCTCTGGCCAGTAGAATAGTGATTACACACATGCCATAGATATCTGTTGCACTGCATAGTTTTGGAACTGATATTGGTATAAATGCTTTTAGAACTTATATTGCACATGTAAGTGAGCTTGGGGTGGAAGATCCTTGAGGACCCCTTGTCTTACTGAGATTTCTAGTTTAGAGATCTCAACCCACGTTTGGGACGCTTATTTTAGGTTCAGATAATGTTGAGATCTCACGCGGCAGGAGGCCGGAGCTAGAGTTAGATTTGTTGTATTTATGCTGACATATTGGATGCTGCTTTATGTTTTTAGCTTCAGTTTATGATTATGTTTTATCTTGTTGAGACGCTGTTTAATTGGTGAGCATGGGGATTGTCCATGACACATAGACTGGTTTATGTCTTAGTTTGATTTGGAGTTGTAGTAATGTATCAGGATATTGTCCGGACTACGTGATGTAGATCTGTGACTTAGATACTCACTTTATTTATATATATTAAGGTATTTCAGTATATGTCTTATTGCAATTTACATACATGCGATATTTTATGAAATTGATTAAGTAAACAAGTTGGTAATTGATAATGACGTCATAATTGAAAAGAAAAAGAATATTCCGCATTTTTAATTAAGCGTAGCTTAATACGATCTAATGATAACATACCGGATATATACGGGGTGTTAAATTTTATGGTATCAGAGCAACGGTTCAAGGGAAAAGCCTGTATGTATTGCAATGATTAGGATGTTTGGTTGTGTCTGTTTTGTGTGTTTGCTCCGTTGAGTATTATTACGATAATGCATGTGTGATCACATTGTGTGGGCCTGATCAACTCATAATTTGTGTAACTTGTGCAGAGTCATTGTAAGACCCGGGAGAAACCGTGAGACTTCGGAGGATCAGCCCGATCCTTTCCTGGCTGCATTGGCTGAGATGCAGGCGGCCCGACAAGCCGACCAGGAGGCCATGAGAATGGCAAACCAGGCCATGCTGGACGCCGTCAGAGAGGCGAACAGGAAGGCCACTGAGGACGTGTTGGAGGCCAACCGTCTGGCGAACATGACGATGTTTAGAGTCATCTTAGAGGAGATGAGGAATGGTCCTGTTGTTGTCCATGTTCCTCTGCCACCACCTCCACCGCCACCACCACCAACTCCACCCAGTCTGCAGGATGACTCTCAGAGTCAGATAGGTGATGGCAGTCACCTTACGGGGGCCATGTAGACCGTCCCTGTGTTTGTTGAGGATCGAGATGAGATCAATCGCCGGCTGAATGCTTTCCGTAAGCATAAGCCACCTACCTTTGATGTATCATTTGATCCTGTTGCTGCGGCGCTTTGGCTTCAGGCGTTGGACAAGATATTTCGGGTCATGCAGTGCACAGATCCGCAGAAGTTGATGTTTGCTACTTACATGCTGGAGGGCGACCACGAGTGGTGGACGAACATTTCTCATATCTACGAGATGCACGGTCATGTGATGACGTGGCCATTGTTCGAGGATTTCTTCTTGGGTCAGTACTTTCCATATGACGCTCAGGAGAGGCAGCAGGGAGAGTTTGACAGATTGGTTCAGGGCTCGTTGTCTGTGGACGAGTACCTGGCCAAGTTCAACCAGTTGGTGAAGTTTGCACACTTCAGGATGGCGAGGCCTACTCCTACATTTCTGGCTGCTAAGTTCCGCAGGGAACTTAGTGAGGATATTGCTGGTTACCTAGTTGGTTCTGCTTCTAGAGACTTTGGGACAATGGTTCAGCAGTGTCGTGATATTGAGGATTTCTACATCACGAGTAATGCCAAGAAGGCCAAGGTTGCAGAGGCGACGAAGGTAGTAGCTGGTAGTTCCACTTCTTGGAGAGACAGGAAGTTTGGGAAAAGGGTAAAGGTAAACAGATGGCAGCTCGACAGGCACCGAATCACTTCAAGAGGACTTCTGCTCAAGGGAGTGCAGTGAGACCTCCTGCTCCCAGGTGCTCGGGATGCGGGAAGACTCATTTTGGACCGTGTTGTACCAGTCAGTTGATTTGCTTTCAGTGTGGCAAGGAGGGCCATTTCTCCAAAGACTGTCCGTCGGCGACGGCGAGGGCTACTGCAGTGCAGGCAGCGCCACTTCAGATGGTCCCCCTTCCACCTACTTCGGCACCGGCAGTGCCACCATCTTCTGGGAGAGTTTATACTCTGGATCGTCAGCAGTCGGATCGAGCTCCGAACCTTGTTAGAGGTACTGTTACCATTGGTGGTTCACCTGTGGATGTCTTGTTTGACTCTGGGGCTACTCATTCTTTTATTGCAACCCCGATTGCTGTGGGGCTTGAGTTGCCTATTGATGTGCTTTCTCCACCGTTGCATGTTACCACCGCCACCGGAGAAAAGTGTGATGCGAACATTGTTCATCGCGATGTAGCATTTCAGTGGGAGGGCCGCGAGTTCTCGGTAGATCTGATAGCATTTCCGATGGCCAACTTGGAGGTTATTCTGGGCATGGATTGGCTGTCCAAAAATTGTGTGATGATTGACTGTTGTGCCAAGCGTGTGGTGTTGTCTCCGTGTGATTCCACAACTAGTTTCTCACCGTACATTTCGTTGTTGCAGGCTAGGAGAGCCTTGAGAGCAGGGGCATATGGATATGTCATGTTGGGAGGTTTGGTGAGTGGGACACAGGAGGACATCACTGGCATTCCTGTGGTGAGGGAATTCCTCGAGGTGTTTCCTGAGGAGATTCCTGAGTTTCCGTTACAGAGGGAGATAGAGTTCTGCATTGATCTGTTGCTTGGTGTGGGGCCTATTTCATTAGCTCCATACCGGATGTCGCCACCGGAGCTGGCAGAGCTGAAGAAGAATATTGAGGATCTTTCAGCGAAAGATTTCATTAGACCGAGTGTGTCTCCTTGGGGAGCACCGTTCATTTTTGTGAAGAAGAAGGACGGGACAATGCGATTGTGCACCGACTACAGGCAGCTGAACAAGGTGACAATCAAGAACAAGTATCCACTTCCTCAGATTGATGATCTGTTGGATCAGCTCAGGGGTGCTTGCGTGTATTCCAAGATTGATCTCCGGTCCGGATACCATCAGATTCAGGTGAAGCCGGAGGATGTCCCGAAGACCGCATTTCGTTCGAGATACGGTCACTTTGTGTATTTGGTGATTCCATTTGGACTCACCAATGCACTTGCTGTGTTCATGGATTACATGAACAGGATTTTCCAGCCGTACCTGGATCAGTTTGTGATTGTATTCATTGATGAGATTTTGATTTACTCCAAGACGGAGGAGGAGCATGTGGAGCATCTGAGGATTGTTCTGCAAGTGCTGAAGGAGAAGAAGTTGTATGTGAAGCCTTCAAAATGTGAGTTTTGGCTTAAGTCCGTGAAGTTCCTTGGGCATGTGATTTCTGCTGAAGGAGTTGTAGTGGATCCGAACAAGATCGAGACCGTCCTGGATTAGGAGAGACCCAAGACAGTTACGGAAGTGAGGAGCTTTCTGGGTTTGGCAGGTTACTATCGGAGGTTCATCAAGGGATTCTCCACCATGGTTTTGCCATTGACTCGCCTTACCCGGAAGGAGACTCCATTTGTGTGGACTCACGAGTGTGAGGTCTGTTTTCAGGAGTTGAAGGAGAGACTAACTACTGCACCTGTGTTAGTCCTCCCTGATCCTGCGCTTGAGATTTAGCTTTACACCGACGCCTCCGGGTAGGGGCTAGGTTGTGTGCTGATGCAGTTGGGCAAAGTGATTGCCTATGCTTCGAGGCAGTTGAAACCTCATGAGGAGAACTACCCTACTCATGACTTGGAGTTGGCTATTATTGTGTTTGCTTTCAAGATTTGGAGGCATTATCTTTTTGGTTTGAAGTTTGTGGTATTCAGTGACCACAAGAGTTTGAAGTACTTGTTCGACCAGAAGGAGTTGAACATGAGGCAGAGGAGATGGATGGAGTTCATAAAGGACTACGACTTCGAGCTGAGGTATCATCCTGGCAAGGCCAATGTGGTAGCTGATGCTTTGAGTCGGAAATCCAGTAGCTTATCCAGTTTGTTACTTGGTAACTTCGATGTGGTTGAAAAGTTCCAAAACTTGGCAGTGACCGCTCCGTGTGAGAGTGTTCTTCTCGAGTTGGAAGCAGCAGACGTTGTGAATGAGCTGCTAGAAAAGATCAAAGAGGCACAAGTTCAGAGAGAGTGTCTGGATTATGTGAAGAACCAAGACGGTGTGTCTTGGAATGATGATGGATTGCTTTTGTTTCAGCAGAGGATTGTAGTTCCTCGAGGTCCGTTGACAGAAGAGGTTATGGCAGAGGGCCATAAGGGCCAATTTTCTATCCACCCTGGTGCTACAAAGATGTATCAAGACTTGAAGAAGAACTTCTGGTTGCCGAGCATGAAGAAAGATGTTGTTGTCTTTGTGTCCAAGTGTTTGGTTTGCCAGAAGGTGAATATTGAACATCAGAGACCGTCTGGTGAACTTCAACCTCTTGAAGTACCACAGTGGAAGTGGGAAGGTATTTTCATGGACTTCGTGGTGGGATTGCTGAAGACTCAGGCGGGTTGTGACTCTATTTGGGTAATTGTGGACAGACTGACGAAGTCTGCCCATTTTCTTCCAGTGAAGGTGAGCTTCACTACAGAGCAGTTGGCCAAGCTTTATGTTCGCGAGATTGTGAGGCTTCACGGGGTTCCCGAGAGTATCATTAGTGATAGGGACCCGAAGTTCACATCTCGGTTCTGGGAGGCGCTGCAGGAGGTTTTTGGTACACAGTTGAGATTGAGTACCGCCTATCACCCTCAGACTGATGGACAGACTGAGAGGACCATCCAGACCTTGGAGGACATGTTGCGAGCTTGCACGTTGGAGCAAGGCTCGGCATGGGATAGGTACCTTCTGTTGGTTGAGTTTTCTTACAACAACAGCTTTCAAGCTAGCCTGGGCATGGCGCCCTACGAAGCACTGTATGGTATGAGGTGTCGGATTCCTACTTGTTGGTCTGAGGTTGGGGATAAGGAGCTTTTTGGCTTGGACTTTGTCGAAAATACCACCCAGCAGATCTAGATGATCAGAGAAAAGTTGAAGCAGGCGCAGAATCGCCAGAAGAGCTACTATGATGTCAAGCATCGTCCATTGGATTTCAGTGAGGGTGAGCACGTGTTTGTGAGACTTTCACCTGTCACCGGTGTTGGTCGGGAACTCGAAGTGAGGAAGCTGAGCCCGCGATATATTGGGCTATACCAAATCCTTGGTAGAGTAGGACCTGTTGCCTACCGGCTTGCCTTGCCTCCGAACTTGGCTAACATCCACGACGTGTTTCACGTGTCTCAGCTTCGGAAGTACATAGCAGATCCTTCGCACGTGGTGCAACCGGATGATGTGGAGGTTCGGGAGAACCTGAAAACTCCCGTCGAACCACTCAGAATTCTCGATCGCGGCGAGAAGCAGCTGAGGAGCAAGATCATTCTGATGGTCAAGGTGCAATGGACTAGAAGAACTCCTGAGGAGTGTACTTGGGAGCGTGAGGACGAGCTTCTCCGGGTACCCCGAGTTTTAACCAGGTATGTTTCTGATTTTGAGGTCAAAATCCTAAAAAGGTGGGGTGAATGTAAGAACCTGCACCGTTAAATAAGGTATATAATTAATTAATTATGCAAAATTAGGAAATGATTCAATAATTGACCCTAATAATTATTATGAGACTCTAATAACTATAGTAAGTGATTTAGAATGCTGAAAGTCGCTTTTCGGAAGAAAAGTGTAGATACCGGTTCTGCTAGTCGGTATAAATGCGTACCGAAAAAGTATCCCCGAAAATTAATGTAAGGGAATGATAATTACTAGAATAATATATAGGACTTGTAAAACAAGTTTCAAGTCCAAATAATGAGAACTGGTGCCAGAAACTGATACTGGATATGGAAAAGCGCGTACCAGAAAGGTGCTCAGAAAAATATAATAAAAATATAATAATTCTTGTAAAATTGAGTAGGTTAAGAATCCTAAGTTTGGGATTAAAATGCTAAGCGTAACAATTAAAGCTAATACTGTGTGTTTTATTTTAAAGTGGCTATATATATGGCTTTTAATTGCACACAACCCTTGATAACTAATTTTTGAACGTAGCTTGGGAGAGGGTGGCTGACCAGAATAGTGCCTCTTGGTTTCTTCTCCATTTTCTTGACCAAGGTGTCACCTTTACTTGATTTCTTCCATCTTTGAGCTTGCAAACACTTGGTTGGGGTGAGGGTGAGCTTTGTGAGGGCTGTGACCAGCTATTTTTCTAAGTTTGGAGGCTGTCTTGGAGTACCTTGAGGGCTGTCTTGTTGACTAGAGTGTTGAGGGGCTTTGTTCTTGCCTTGTCATTGCTCCAAGGAGCAATCTTTGTGAAGAAAAGAGTCATCTTGTGATACATTTTCGTGTACCTTTCTAGTCAGAACCTAGGAGCTTCATTGAGAGCTCCAAGAGCATCACCATTTCTGTTTTGGTGCTAAGGGTATGTGGTTGAACCTTGAACTTGAGTTCTTTTGCTTAAAAATAGAACCTTGATGCAAGTAAAGTCTTAAAGATGATAACTTAACGTTGGGGTTGGTCAAACACACCTAGAAATGCATGTTTAAGTGTCTTTAATCGGTAAAAACCCAACCTTGGATGGATATCTTCACGAAATGTAGTTTCAGCATTCTGTCATGAAATATCCAGATATTGGATATCCGGATATGGGGATAGGATATCCGAATATGGGAATCTGTATATCCGGATATTGCATATCCGGGTATGGACAGTGAGATATCCGGATATGTCCCGTGGAATATCTGGATATTCTGGGATTTCGAAGAACAGTAGCTGTGCTGTGAGGACAATAGGCTATTGGGGGTTTTTGGACCCTAGGTTAATGAAGTTGAACTTCTGTAATTAATGAACTAAGTCAGAATCATGTGATTAAGGGCTTGTGGCTTTGTTAGAAGCCTTAAGACGTAAAACGTAATGAAAAGGCGTGGTCTTTAAGTTGTATGCTTGAGATGCATGAATATTGATATGTTGTTGGTCCATAACAGATTGTGATACTGTTGTGTTTGGACTTTGAGCTTGTGGCATTGGATAGCTAGCTTAGAGGTAAGCTTTCGTGTCCTCGGTTTAGCCATGTTGTGGTTTCACCATGTCCCATGGAGGTATGGTATATGCATGCTGTGTTACATGCTTTTGATGTTTTGGAAATGCTGTTGAGCTGTTATATGTTAGTGCTTTGTTGATATGCATGGAGGTGTTCCACCTATATGGTAAGCCTGAGTATGTAGAACATACAATATGGTGAGGTCGTGGGTGAGGTGCATGCGGTGTTCCTTGTACTACATGTAGGTATAGACGTATTCCTACATTTCTCTGGCCAGTAGAATAATGATTACACACATGCCATAGATATCTGTTGCACTGCATAGTTTTGGAACTGATATTGGTATAAATGCTTTTAGAACTTATATTGCACATGTAAGTGAGCTTGGGGTGGAAGATCCTTGAGGACCCCTTGTCTTACTGAGATATCTAGTTTAGAGATCTCACACCACGTTTGGGACGCTTATTTCAGGTTCAGGTAATGTTGAGACCTCAGGCGGCAGGAGGCCAGAGCTTAGTTGATGTTTAGTGTTGTTCATATTATGCTGGCATGATTGGATTGGATGTTGTTTATGTTTTCTGTCATTTATGATTATTGAGTTGAGACTTATGTTGGGCTTTGTTGCCTTATTTGGGTGAGCACGGGAGTTGTCCATGCCACTATGTTGTGAGTACTTTTGAGTTGAGTTGTATAAACTGTTAGATGGTCTGGTCTACGTATTGTAGTTCCGTGTCTAGAGACTCATACTTATGTTATTTAATTAATGAGGTATTTCAGTTAGCTGTTTATTGCAATGTACATACAGGCGATGTTTTCAAAATGGTTAAGTAATCAAGTTGGTAATGATTAATGACATCATAATTGAAAAGAAAAAGATATTTCGCATTTTTAATTAAGCTCAGCTTAATACGATAGTATGATAACATTACCGGATATATACGGGGTGTTACAATTAGCGTATTAAAGACTTGGTTTATAGGTCTGGCTTGGCCTACTGTTAAAAAATAAAAAGCCTAACATGGCCTATAAGCCTTCTAGACCTACCAATTATGATATATTTATAAGAACAATACGAAACCAATAAACCCATATGAAACCAATAAATTAGGGTGAGAACATGGTCTAAAATTCTATTATTTCTTACTAGAATTTCCAACGAACAAATTGGTGCTGCAAGGATGGAATTAGAGTGAGAACTAAGAAACAGTGCAATTAGCAAAGACGACAGTGAGAGGCGACAATGAGAATTGAGAAGTGGCGCACAAGAGACGAAATTATGGTTGGGAGTTGGGACTTAGGATAAATGAATAATAGTTAAGATAAACATATTATATAATTAAAAAAATTTAATAGGCCAGCCTATAGGCTTGTTGGTCAGGTTTTTCATAACTGGCCTATGACCTATTTGTTAAATGGCCTTTTTCACAAACCTAAGCCTATTCTAATTTTTAAAAAGGTCAGGGTAAGCCAGGCCAAACATAAGCTAGGTCAGGCCACTGACCATTTAATTATACCTGTAATTATGAGTTTCAAGCAAACTCTAATTTTAAGATTCAATAATATTCGTATAATCTAATTTATTTAATAATAATATGAATCACATAATTTTTACCAAACACTATTATTTTAAATATCATAACAATCCTTCATACAGTCATTATGTCACTACAAACATTAGACTCCATTATTTATCAAACATTTAGCTGGGCATTGCATCACATACGATATTCGCACAAAATAATGTGAAATCACACTTGAAGATAAGTACATAAAGCAGCAAACCAAGTATAGTTCTGATACATCGACAAGCCCAACATAACATGAAGCTTCTTTCATATATAATTGTACGTTTCATATTCCACAATACGCTTTAACTCGTGAATCAGATTCTTTGATTTTCTCCTTGTCAAAGAAACGAAGGTATTCAAAGTGGTCGAATGGTTTATAACGCAAGGGATGTTGCTCATCAACAAGCTCTTCTGGTGTCAGCACCATATCGCCATTAAAACAAAATAGTCCCATAGAGTACCTGGTTTCCTTTGCATTCATTATAACTCTGTGTTCACATGGACGTATCCTACCATTACTCCAAACCTAGCCCAAGAAAATGAATCAAAATAAAATTCCTAATGAAAATAGACCATTAAATATGTGTCAAGTAAAAAGTATAAAATTTTGAAATTGTCAATGAAAATTAAAATAATCCCAAAATTCAATCGAAATATATCCCAAAACTTAAATAATAATAAAAAAACACTAGACCTCATCTTCTTTGAATGATTATTGCTCAGAGTTCCATTTCCATTCCAGTAGCAAAATTTGAAATACGGATTGCATGATTATTGGATTGGATTCCTTGTGTGCATTAATGATGAAGACTAAATTGTTTAGCTTACGTGGGGATACTTGTATTAATGAACAAACCATAATATTAATTAAAAATCCAATGTGTACATCTAGTTCTATTTCATAGCACTAGAGGCTTTAAAATTTCAATTTGGAAATCAAGCTTTTATTTATGTTGAAGTATAGAATTGATGAAAATTTACTAACCTTGAATCCATCTCCAGCCATGACCACAAATACAGTGGGTGAGGGATCAACCACGATCCACTCTCCATCCTTCAGTTTAACTTCCAAGCCTTCTACATTATTCACCTGATGCAATATGGATTGCATGGTCAAGTCAGCGTGAGGTTGCATTCCCAAATCAGTCTCATCCATCTGGGGTGGTCTATACTGGAGGCATCGAAGAAGATAATTGCCTGATTCTATGAATGATTCGCATCGTTTCATGTCCACACCATAGCTCTCAAACACCATTCTCTTCGCCACATGATCTAATTCTGCTAACAGCTTAGAATACTCGTTGACACTTTCACTAAAAAAGAAAAAAAACAAGTATACAAGCAACTGCTTTCATTAATCACAATTATATTAACGAAGTCATTATTAGTACATTAGTAAATGGGAGAGCCAGAAATTGTTATAAGTGGAAGCAAAATTGTAAGTGTATTTTTTCCTCCTAAATTACTACTATCTAAAATACATGAGGCAAATTCTGCTGGACAAGTTTTCTCAATTTTGCATAGGTAGGATCAATGATGGATTATATGCCGCCTTATCTTTATATTTTTATTTTTTGAAAAGAATTATTTCTTGTATTTGAACTCGTAACCTTTCCTAAACTTGACAAAACCAGCAACCGTCGCGTCCAACCCCTGACCTACTTTAAAGCCATCATTAAGCGGACCAGATATTTATGACGGATTGATAGATTAAAGGGAAATACTACTCTCATTTTACATGAGGTAGTTATCTCATTTTCTCTCGCTTCGAAAATCGTGCTCCTTCTTTTTTCTTTTTCTTTTTTACTTTTAAATAGCGGGCTCTACTTGGATTCTCTCTGTAACATGAGAGAACTACTCTCATGTTACATGAGAGTAATATTACCATAGATTAAAACATCTAAACTAACCCGTCTAATTAGGTGTGCTAGGCAGGTTGATCCAACAAATCAAAATCATTTTGTCATCTCTAACCCATACTCCAAGGCTTACCCTTAGATCTCAAAAGTATCAATGTGAAAAAAAGTAAAAATAAAATAAAAATGGTGCTCACGCCTAAAGACTTGAATTAATATGCTTTAAGGAGCAAAAATACAACTAAAAAAAAAACATAGATATATCCTCATATCAATAGTCTTATACACTATCACTCACCCTATACCCTCGCTCTACAACTTGTTATGTTTATATAAATATATGCATCGATAAGGATACCTACCAGAAACGATCATTTCCTTTTGGCCACATTATTTGTGTGAACTTTTGACATCCATCAACTGTCACGGGGTCGTCAATGCCAAATGACTCATATAAGGGAAGAAATGGTATTTGTCCGTAGTAACCATGGAAAAGCTTGTTACTAGTCTCTTGCTTTTTTGTTTCCAATGGTAGATTAAAAAGTTCTTCCATTGCAGAGACAACAGAGCTGCATAGATCTTTGTCAACTTTGTCGTAGCGTGCAATGAAACAACCATGATCCTCAAGTGCAGTTCGTACAACATCACAAGCTGAAAGCCAAGCCTCTGAACCAGGTTTCAGGTTTTCGTCGGTGAAGTCAACAACAGGAAGCTGGGATGGTGTTTGAGATCCCATTATATTCTTTTACCTTGCGGAAAATGTTTGTGTGTTGAAATCAGATGCTATTGCTACACGTACTCTTTCTATACAATTATATGAGGGGCAGTTAGCAACTGCTTCAATAATAAATGTTTGAAAAATAATTAAATATAAACAATATCTAATTCATGTTTTAAAATCTTATTCTGGGCACATGTAATTTTATGTAACGTTTGGCACATATGATTGTAGTTATATAGAGTAGGAAAATGAAATCGTAAAGGAATGGAATAAGCTAGCTAGAAGCCGTTCCATTAATTATTTAGTACCTATGATTGAATGCGAAATGAAATGAAATTTGGTCCAAAGGAAATTAATATCTCTTTTGCTAAAAATCAAAACGATTAACTTTTCAAATGCTTGAATTATAATTTGATGAAAAAAAAATTTGTCTTTAAATGAGTAAATATTGTTTTGTTTCTGAGGAAAATTTAAAATATGCAGTGTTTTGGAAAAGAAACTTCATACATTTTTATAATATTTTACTTTCATGATATTTTGAATATTAATTATAAACTAACTTACTATTACACTTTTTTTTTTCAAAATTCTATACATATTTGCACAATTTTTATTTATTTTCAAATCTACCTAATTGAGTGTTTAAAACTAATTACTGGATAATAAAATATATGTTAGAGTAAATTGAAAATGAAATTAAGGTGTATAGGATAAATCTAATCAGGTATAACAATTATATATTATTTCATAACATAAATAAGAGTACATAATCACAAATTTTACTCTCTCTCTCTTTTCAAATCTTGTTTTTGTTCGAGACGGGACCAAGAGTAAGACTTTAAACTCTTTTCAAAGATAGTACTGAGAAGGATTAAACCTATGCTTTTATCCCCACCTGCTTAGCTCTCATGCACCAACTGAGTTATCATCATTTGATTTTGAATCAACTTCATATTTAGTGGTTTTTTAGACTTAATGTTTGACTGCTTTCATTTGTCCATACTTTATGCCTCTGGTAATGGAAAATATTTTCAGCACCGATGCACCGACCACTCCATACATCATTTATCAAATATGAATAAAAGTAATATATTTATATTATCTTTATCTTTATAGTTATTTTCTTTTATATCACTATTTTTTTCGTTTTTGAAAAAATAATATATTATTAGTAGTACGGTTGTACCCACCATACTATATTGAAGATTTGTTCCTAGTAATGATACTTGGGGGCAAGGACACTCCCGCCACATTTTTCAGAAAAAGAAAAAAAGTAAGATATATGTAAAAATAAATATAAAGATAAGGGTAATGTAAAAGCAGTACTTTTTACTATATTTGCTAAAAGAATCACTGTCTACTCAGCATTGAAAATATTTATCGCCGTATTCGGAATCAATTTTGCCACGTGGTAAAATGGGCTCGTCTATCCCTCATTTCTACATGTAACATATTTTTTTCCGTTACTCCCACACAAATCTCCTGTCTCTTAATTATTCTCTTTGGATTCTCCAATCCTTCCCTATTTAATTTTTAATTTTTATAATGTATCATATTTATTAGTAGGTAGTGTAAGTAATAGGTTATGTAGGTTTTGTGTGTAGTGCAGTAGTCAACAATTTAGTTGCAGTAATTAGTAAGTTAGTAGGTCATGTAGTGTAATGAAACAATTAGTAGCGTATTGTAAACATGTGGTTATTTATAATTTGTAATTTAATAATTAGTTAGTGATGCAAGTAATAGTATATTGTGAATAATTAATTATTAATTAGTGTAATAATTAATAATGTAGGTCATGTGGAACGAGACACCTTATCCTAGTATAAATGTTCGACGAGCTGTCAAATATAACTAGGGGTGGCAATATGGGTTGAGTCCGGCGGGTCAACTCGTCAACCCGCCAAAGCGGGACGGGTTAGGTTGAAGTTTTCAACCACTAACCCACTCAACCCGCCCCGCCTAGAAGTGGGTCAAAACGAGTTCAAACCGCCACAGGGTGGGTTGACCCGCCGGGTTATAATTTTTTTTTTTTTACAATTAGGTAGTATTTCATTAGTCCTTAAATTTTTGTGATATCCAAATTTTTTTTTATCTTAGTACTTCCTAGAAAAAATAAAGAATAACAATTTTATTTATGACAAATGTTATCTATATATAAATTCCTAAAGAATGTTTGACAAATATTAGTATACATTTAAGATTGAGACTAAAAAAATATAGAGAAGTGTGAAATAAAATAAAATAATTTTAGAAAAATTCATAAAATATAATTTATTTTGGAATTTTAATTTATTTTTTTTAATTGGCGGGTTGGTGGGTTGACCCGCCAACCCACCATAAAACGAAGTGGGTTCATTTTTCCAACCCATATTTTTTTGCGAGTCAACCCGTCCCGCCCTGTTTTTGGCGGGTTGGTGGCGGGGCGAGGCGGGTCGGGTCAACCCAAATTGCCACCCCTAAATATAACCTCCGTAACATCATAGATTACATATTTGACTATTTGAGTAAGTTGATTTTTTATACGTTACACACCTATGACACCACGAGGTTTTGTATAATTATCAATAAATTATTGTAATTAATTGATATTAATTAAATAATATTTTAATATATTTTACTTCATGTTTTATATCATATTTTTTGGACAATAACAGGAAAGAAAAAACAAAGAGACAAAGACAATAAAAGAAACTAGGCACACAGCCTAGGCCAGCAAACACCAATTGTATCACTATACAATCTTGCTAAATATCCTGATGGAGGCTCGTCAAAAACTTGAACTGCCCAGTTAAATCCGTAAGCATACGAGGCTAGCCAATCAGCCACTCTGTTTCCTTCGCGATGAATGTGGGAGATTTGGACCTGCCAATGCCATTGCAACATGCTTCTAATTCGTTGAACTAGAATAGATGAAGGATGATTTAGAGGGCAACCATTTCTTATTAGAAACTGGGCTGAAAGTAAATCCCCTTCCAACTGAACTTTCCTAAACCCTTTTTCCCAAGCTAGTTGTAATCCTTCCAAGCAAGCCCATAACTCTGCCTGCAACACCGTACCTGGTCCTAAGTTCCTGCAAAATCCAACAATCCAACTCCCAGATGGGTCACGAAGCACTCCTCCACAACCTGTCTTGAATCCGTTGCCGAAACTAGCCCCATCAACATTAAGCTTGACCCAATCTTGAGGAGGACAAGACCAAGCTATCATTTTTTTCTGTTCGACAGCTGGTCTGGATCCCTGCTTCATAGCAAAAGCAAGAGCAACAGTATCCTTGTATCCTATGGCAGATCGGGTAATCACATAAGCATTCTGGTTTTTCCCTTCAAAATCCCAAGTATTCCTACTTCTCCAGATAAACCATGAAAGAACTCCAAAAAGTAAGGACCAATCCATCTCCCACCCCCTATCTCGACTATTATCTAAATTGCTCATCATCCAATCTTGTAAATTAGGAGCAAACAAATCTTGCCAATTCATGTGTTTCACAACCAAGCATCAAATTTCCTTCGACTTTGGACAATCACGAATGGCATGAAGGACAATCTCGCTCGATTGGTAACACCTGGGACACAAATCCGAAGAGGTCATGTGGCGTTGCAGTCTACGATTTTTTTCATCACCTTTTCTCCTTCCATTAACCATAAGAATATGCGCACTTTTTCTGGACCCCCCATTTCCATATACGGTCCCATTTGTGTGTCTGAATCGGAGTGCCATTATTGTCTAAAATAGCATAAGCTGATTTAAGTGAAAAAGTTCCATCCGTTGTCTCAGCCCACATGACCTGATCTTTGCCATTTTACGCAAATGGGGGAACCACATTCATGAGCCTATGGGAGATATGAATAGGGAGTAGCTGCTGGATAGTGTCCCATTTCCAACACACTGACACATCCACATAATCCACCACATGATGAAACTTGTCTTCTGTAGAGATTTGATTGATTGCATGAGATAGTAAAGGGCCACAACCTAGTAGCCAATTATCAAGCCAGAACATCGTGGCTCCTCTGTTGCCTATTAAGACGCGGTTGTGCTCCATCATGACACTCCAATGTCGGTTAATCCCTTTCCACTAGCGCGAGTGATGCTTCCCGGCAAGTATACCGATCGCACAAGTAATAAAGTGATAAATAATGTTCGTCTCCATAGGGATTGTGATCTTATATTAATTAATATTCCTTTAAAGAATGGATGAGTTTAAACGGTTTTGACAAGTATTGTCAATTGGTGTGAATATGATGACTAAAAATAAAGACTTGTTTTTGTATTTTTATATTGAGAAAAAGAACAATAAAATAAGAATTGATGTTTTGAAATGTGAGAAAAACATTGTAGCTAGAGCGCACTCACCTTATGATCCTCACTTCTTACTTTGGATTGGTTTACAATATTCATTTATAAAACTACTCGGATAAATTATTATCTAAAATAATTAGTTAAATCTCAATCCCTTGGCAATTTAACCCTTTAATTTCAATTGGAATCCTAATCCATTAGTAACCCCTCATGAAAAGTAAGCGATGAACTCTGTAATTTAGGCATCCGCAATTCAATATACATCTATTCCTAGCATGCATACGAACCGTAGAATAAAGTGATCAATTCTAATGAAGAAAATATAAAATACGCGCAGGATAGAGATAAAGACAATTTATATAAACGAGTAAAAGTAAACCAATCCGTCGTAACAAGGGTTCACATAGGGTTTGTGATCCTAACTACAACAAAAAGAATTAGCCAAGCATAATCATGGCTAAAAATAATCCAATATTCAAAAGCATAAAATTAAAGAGAAAAAAAGAAGAAGAAGAACTTGCTCTTCAGAATCCTCTCGGAGCTCCGCCGTCGTCTCTCTCAGTAGAATAGGTCTGAATCCTTAATTCTGTCATAAGGATCCTATTTATAAGCCTCTTTTCTTTCTTCCAAAATTACCCTTCGCACAGCACGGACAAATTTCCCGCAAACCGGCGCCAGTTGGCGTCGGTGTGGCGCCGGTTCGCGCCACGCTTCTG